ATTCCTCAGTGTTGAATTTTTTTATATTAGAATCAGAAAATGTGCATTTGTGTATATATTACCTTTAAGTCGCTATTTTTTATTTCATTTTTTTTAAACTTAATTTATTCATATTTTGACTATCAAAATTCAATTCAATGGTATAAATAAATATAACTGACTTTGCGTATTATACCATTGACCAAATGAAAATTTGTTCTTGATTTTTTTAGTTTGTGGTTATTTTTCATTCAGCAATGAAGTTTTGAAGTTGATCAAAATACAATATTAAAAAGTTATTCAATATCAAATTTAATAACAATCGTAACAATTTGTTTTTAAATATTTGAAATGCCATGTTATGTTTTGACTTTTGAAAATGTGCTATGTTAAATTGTTAAATTATAAAGTTTGATGTTACTCGGTCTCGGTGATCTAGATTCAGGAAGCATACAATCAATAGCTGCTGCCCTCTAGATTTTTAATATTGTTTCTAAAATAATGTTATATGACATATTGTCAATATTTTTCAATCAATTTAACAACGCATTTTACATTTTTTAATATTATTACCAGGGCTGGAATTTGATGCGCCCAAAACAATGTGTTGATATGAATTAAATCTTTAAATATGCAACATACATTTTCCGAATGGGTAAATGTTGATTCCACCTATTCAGACTACTTCACGAACCTCCTCAGGTGTACCACAAGGTAGAGGCAAAGATTATAATACTAAACTGCCTACTCACTCGGCCAATGTAATTCTCAAAAATGTAAACAAATCAAAACCGGGCCTGTATTATTTGTTCCACAAAATAATTGTTCCAATTACTATTTGTTCCACAAAATAATTGTTCCAATTACTATTTGTTCCACAAACTACTTGTTCCAAATGTGGAGCAAATAGTTTTTGGAACAAATAGTAATTGGAACAAATATTTCGTGGAACAAATAATTATTGGAACAAATATGTTGCGGATCAAATAGTAATATTGGAACAAATTATTTGTGGATCTTAATAATATTTTTTTTGGAACAAAAATTATTTTTTTTAAGTACTATTTGTTCCACAAAACAATTTTCTTAACCCTGTGACCCACTTGGGGAGGTGTTGCACAGCAAGTCGGGGGATATTTTCGATTTGCGGAGCGGTTAGGAACACTTGGAACAAACGTTTTTTGGAACAAATATTCATGGGACAAAGTGTATTGGTACAAATGGTTTATGGAAAAAAAGTCCATAGGAACAAATGTTTTGCGGAACAAAAGTCCATCGGAACAAATATTTTGTGGAACAAAAGGTAAGATTTGGACCTTAATTAATTTGGAACAAATATATCGTGGAACAAAGGTTTTGTGGAACAAAAGGTAGTGATCCATCAAAACCTACCTTAAATCAGTGCCACCACTAATAGAGAAAAAGAGTTTTTGATTATTGATTATTAACTACGCGTCTCTGATATTTAGCACTCGCGCCAAATTTTTAATCTTTGTCATCGATACAATAATAATTGAACGTAGTAAATTACGTATTGTACAATAATTTATTTTTCATATGTGATCCTACTGCATTGTGGTAGGTTTTAGTCACGGATTAAGATATATTTATTATATCTTAAATCTATGTTTTCATCATAGACCTTAATATACTTCTAGATAATACAATATACTTATAAACTGGATAGAGCTATGCCTATATCACGCGTAATCCGCGCTTGAAGCCGATTTGGCCACGATGAATTTATTGCGCATGCGTCAGGAACGAAAAAAGATAGTGCGGGACGGGGTAATATAATTGCGGTAATGTTTGCTCATGCTCAGTAGTTGACGATGGCCATGCAACCTTATCTACCGGAAATTATATTTTACAATATACATATTATATAACATAAGTAGCGGGACCTATTGAATTTGCATATTTTTATTTAATAGTCCAATAAATTGCTAAGTAAGACAGAAATTTGTTTCAAGTTGTAGCAAATTTAAATAAATCAAAGAAAAATGGCATATTTTTAGGTTTTAATGAAAACACGCATTTTTTCACAATAAAATTTTTTTATGCATATAACATGCTACATTATAAGTGAAGGGGGAAAAGGGGAAAACAATTAAAACTAAGATTGAGTCTGTTCTATCAAAAAATGAAGGCTATCAAGCAGTTTTAAGAATATCAGAGATACTAAATGGAAAATAAGACACAGATGCATTACCCGAAGATTTGAGTTTAAATGATCTCACGTGTATACGTGTAGTTATCTTACGTGTAACTGTTCAATAACAACAGATGACGTAGAACTTTCGTTTTCAGAGTACAACAATTTACTCACTACCAATCGACAATCGTTCAAATTCGAAAATATCAAAAAATCTTTAATCGTTCAATGAAATTTTTAAGGTAAAATAATATACAACACTAAACAGTAAAAATAGGTACCTACTTAAAGAAAATTGTTTTAATTTCAGAGTCAGAAAACACGGGATAAAACTTTAAAAAAGAAACTCAAACTTTTTAATTTTGATGTATAGTGTAAAAACGTACAAATACTAATTTTTATTCACATTTGTATTATTTAAATTATTAATTATTATTTATTAAATTACATTAAAAATAAAAATAATAATTAAATTTCATATTTCAGTGCATATTTTCGTGCATTTTTGATAATATTTTAATGCATTTTTGCATGCATATTTTCATAATTTTCAATGTAACAACTTCATAGATAATAAAGATATGGATAGGACATGCCTATGTTAATTATATTTGTGGCCGCGTTCCCGAAGGGGAGGCTATTGAGGCTCCTTTATCTATAGCCGTGATTGATAGTCGATTCTTTGTTTAGGTATACCTATACCTTATTTGACCTCAATTGTTCCCCTCGAAGACCGCTGATAAGACCATTATGTCCTATCCATATCTTTATTATCTATGAACAACTTCCGATCCCTAAGCATAACATAACAAACGCCCACTTGCGGGAGTGAGAGACCGCCTTTCTCTCTTTCATATTAAAGACCACGACCTCTTGCGTTGTATGCATTAACATGGCTATCCATTCTTCTATTTTCTATGTGATGAGCTATTTTATTCAAAGAGTTGAATCCCTAAGGTGAGTTGAATCAGTGTGAACTGAATCAGCAACTCACAATTCACATGACTCAGTGTTACCACAACGAATCTTAAATAATTCTGAATTGACCCAATTTATAATTTTTTTAAAAAACATTTTGTTTTGATTTTACATCAAATTATGTAAAACAAATAGTCCAAAAGTCAAAATAATAAGTGTATACATTCAAGTGGATCACCATTTGTCTAGTATATTTAACTGTTTAACTACCTAGGTACTTTAACTTGGTTAAGAGGACGTATGCGTTGTTTTCGTTTTACAAATGCACAACATAGCAAAAATGTGTTGTATTGCTGTGTACCATATTATTATAAACTGAAAGTCGACAACTGACGATAACAGTAACTGGTTTGATTGAGCATAATATATATACTATATTATAGTGTTATTTCGTTGTATTTCTCTTATGTTTTAATTTTTAACATGTCTGAAAAAGCGATATTTATATAAAGTTCCCGTTTAAAACCTTTAATAATTTGAAAAAATTACAAATATTTTCTAGCGTACAAGCCAAAACCAGAATCTTGATTATCAGGTTGACGATGTTGTGTAACTACTTATTGTTTTTTTTACTTATTAATGCCTTTTTGATTTTTTTTGCTTTTGTTACTTATAAATGCCTTTTTATTTTTAGTTTTCAATTTAACTGACAGATAAGAAAATAGTAAAAAAATGCATCCTTTCATTCAAAAAAAAAACCATTAAGTCAGATTTAAAATATGATTAATATACAGATTAAACTCGACGAATGTAGGTAATGGTGAAGTGTATAAATTCAATAAAGTTATATCAAAGAACAAAGGATGGGAAAATATCAAAAAAATATAGGTATATAGTATAAATTGTAGAAACAACAAAGCGAGGACGATTTAATAACTAGTAATCTTAATTTAGATAATTATTTATGTACGAAATACGCCCCAATAACTTTGGTGGACGTAGAAAGATCATTTTCTATGTACAAACATTTTTTTAATCCAAACCGTCAACATTTTACTGAAGACAATTTATCTAAGTACAATAGTACATGGCAGTGAATTTTATTTTTAATACAAACTAGTTAGTCTATTTAATTTTTTAGTAAATTTTGTAATTGCTTTTTTTAAAATTAAATACCATTTTTCACATATTAAATGATTATTTTTTCATTGATTACATTGCCTTCAAATCCGAACCCTATTATTATTATATATATAACAACTTTATTAAGCGGACTGTCCACCATGCGGGTTTCCAAGGGCCCAAGAGTCAAGAGACACAGTAACATATTCAATATTGATATACATAGGATTATTTTAAGATTATAAAATTATAGTAAATCTATATATAAACATAATTCCAGTTAATTTAATAAATAAAATAACTACTAGGTAAAATTGATGACCATTTAAAAAATACAGATTTTATATAAAATAGAAAAATTTATAAAAAAAGATATTTTTTTTTAAAAATAAAATATTACAATTTATTGCATAATAAGTGGTAGAGATTGGTAGTCTTACGTATATAAGTGACATGTAGTTTATAATATTGAGCGTATCTTTCAGAATAGACAAAAATATTTTCAGTAGATCAGAGATGATTAATCCATTGGTCCTGAAAAAATTTCTAAGGAAACAAGATGCGGTTCCGAACCATAAACCCACGATGTCCCAGTTGCTAACGCTATATTGGTTCTTCAGTGTGAGGACGCATGGTTGGTAGATAGCCTCGTCCACTTCTGTGTCCTGCAGGGGATTATTTGTTTCCCAATTAATTGTTAGGTCTGATAGATGAGCCTATGGTTTTTTATCCTGTCTAATACTATAATATCTGCGTGATGGTTTTGGGTGATACCGTCATTCGTTGTTTGACATTGAACTTCCTCGTATACTTCAATGTTTTTACTCTAGAATAGGTCGGCTATTGCTGAACGAAAGTGATGACGAGCCGCGTTTCGCACTAACTCAGTCTTCGGACAGGCGCCTCGAATGTGTGGTATTGATTCAACAATATATACTTCGTTTCTGCAATGGCGACTACCACTCACGCTGCGACCTCCTGTTCCGTGGTTAGACATTGAGTTAATCGATGCTTTTATTGCGTTGGTCCATTCACCGCTAGATAAACCGCCTTTGTTTGATACCCAGGCGTTAGTGAGAGTGTATTTATCATACCAAAGTACGCCGATGCCCCTCTGAGATAATTGTTTCCATTTGTTAAATTCACCCTCGAGCAATTCCTGTGCATTTTCACCTATTACGTTACCCAAGCGGAGACGACATTTGGCTATTTCGTCTGGGAGATCGCGGACTGCCTTTAGATGCTGGTAATTTATTCTAGATAGCCTCTGTGCAACTGTCAGGTGCTGTAGAGAAGCTTCCCAAAACGTGCTCAGCATACCCAAATCACTGACTTTGCGGTTATTGTAGAATACTCGGATGAGGGTATCGGCTGGTAGTCCGCATATTTCTCTAACACTTAGACGTACTAGCATGTCTACACATTCAAGAAATGATTGTTGGAGAAGATCAACTGGTGTTTTTTGCAGAGGAAAAATTAGTTTTGGGTAGTCGTACTGGTTCAGTATATTTAGTTTTTGGTCACTCCTTAATAAAGGTGAAGTGACTAAATTTCTAAAGACTTTTTCTATATGTATAAGAAATTCATTTTGATCGAAAATAATTTCGTCTTTGAAATTTATTACCATGTATTTTATGAGGTCATTGTCGCCTAATGACGGAATTACGGAAGAATCTAATAAAGTAATTGCTTTTGCCATAATATTTCCATTTACGACATTAACTGCGTGGGATTTCGACGGATGGATTTGCATTCCCACTAAAGAGAACAAGCCTCTGGCCATATCAACCAGTACGGTGGCGCTTTCTAAGTCTTTGGCTATGATAGTTGTGTCATCGGCAAATCCTGTTACTGAGATGTTGTCCAGGTTATTGTTTAACTAGAAAATATGTACTCTAGCTACTTCTGGATCTGCTTTAGAACGAAGTCTTGGCAAAGATTGAATAATGTAAAAGAAAGCGGAGATCCTTGAGTTACACTTTGAAGCATGTTTATTTGTTTAGACGATTTCTTGTTCACCTCTACTGTTATATCATTACCAGAGATTAGAGAGAACACTAGGTGGTGAAGGTTTGATGGAATTGGGAGTGATTCTAAGGTCCATTTGATATGATTGCGGCCAACTGTGTTGAAGGCTTTTGCGACGTCAAAAAAAAAAAAAAACAACACAACCAGATGATTTATTCACTTTGGTCGTTTTTAGAAGCCATTGACTATTGATGTGTGTGCCAGGTATCCCGGTTACAAAACACCTCTGATGGCAGGTAAGTTGAATGTGACTTCGCAGTTCCTGGTCTAAACTCCGTTCGATTATCCGCCTAAGAACGCTGAATGTAGTAATTGGACGCCAGTTTCCGATATCGGCTTCTTGGCTTTTTCCTTTATATATCAAAATTGTCCTACTATTATTACTAATAACCAGGGTCGGGTGTTTATAGCGCTTACAATTGCATATATATGAACTATGATTGTCAATAATCTAAAAACACGTTTACTTAAATATAATTTCATGAAATATGACAAATTTTGATTAAAAATCAGGTAAACATGCAAAACATCTTAAAAAGTCCAAAAATATCACTAAAACTAAAAAAAACACAAAATATACAAATACAATTTTTAATTGCAGTTCTCTGTATCATGAAATTTAATCTTTTTCTGCTATGTCTTAAGCATCTCATAAGAAATATGAAAATGCTATAAAATCCCAAACCTGTTAATAACTGTTGAAATATACAATTAATATGTAGTATAGTATATAGTATAGTATAGTCAGCCTTGACACGTGTGTACAATATAGTAACTAGTTATGTACGAGCATAAGACTCTCTCTCTTCACGGATGTAACATGACCTCGGTCGTGCATATATATAGGGCCTTTGATATATATATATAGGGCCTTTGACTTGCACAGGCGTCGTTGTACAGAGCGTATACGATGTGTGTGTACTGTCACAGTTTAATTGTCCAGTTGTACGTTATTATATATTATACTTATACATAATCATATTGTCGTGTTATTACTTATTATATTAATGCTAACATCATTAGTCCGTCAAGCTTCACTTTCAACAGGTTATGGGCCCAGTCAATAACCAAGACATACAGTCTAGTGGATTCGTAATCGAAGTATTTTTATATTTGTATTAACGCAGAAAACTACAACCAGTCGGAGATATCCTGGATTTCGGAAAACGGCGGAACAGTGTACATAGGTAAAGTTTTGTTATAAATTGTTATACAGGAAAGTATACGGGAATCCATCGGTCATGGAAGACACGGTGAAGATAACAAAATTATGTGCGGAAAACTGGTCGTTATGGAAGTTCCAGATGAAGGTCATTCTAAATGCCTTGGAAATAGGTGAGATAGTTTCAGGTGAATGGACGAAACCAAGTCTACCTATAAAAAAGTCGGCAACAGAGTCCGACGAGGATGCCAAAGCACGTTGGCAAAGGCATACAAACGCTAGGCAAAAAGCGGAGGTAAATGTCAGAAAATAATAGTTACCTCAGTGGACGATGGTCCATTACAATATTTGATTAACTGTGAGACTGCATTGGAAATGTGGGAGAAACTGCTGAGTATTTACGAGCAGAAGTCTGAGGCAAGTTTACATTTGCTTCAACAACAATTTTTCAGTTATTCAAAGGAGTCGACAGTTGACATGTCGACGCATATTTCTAAATTGGTCAATTTAGGAAGGAAACTGAGAGTAGCGGGTGAACCAGTTACGGATAACATGGTTATGACAAAAATACTAATGACATTACCAAAAGAATATAATCATTTTTACAGTGCTTGGGATTCAGTCCCAACGGGAAGTAAAAATATAAATAATTTGACTAGTCGATTGTTGATTGAAGAATCACGGGTTATCCAGATCAAAGGTGAAGTTGGTGAACAAGAGAAATCGAGTGCATTTCCGGCCAAATTTCAAAACAGATCTGATGGAAGAAACGGCAGTAGTAATTATGGAAAAGGTAAAAATCAATTTACCAATAAAAGTAATATTAAGTGTTATTACTGTGGTAAACTAGGTCATTATAAAAGAGACTGTAGAAATTTTCTACAAAGTGTACACGGTGGTAAAACCGGTACTATAGGTGCGAACTTGAACGCATTCGTAAGCGAGTCAAGAATAAATAATATTGCAACAGATGCGTGGGTACTAGACTCAGGCGCTTCGGATCATATGAGCGCAAATCGAGAGTGGTTTTCAAGTTATGAACCACTGGACAACACTCAACAAATCACTATAGGTGATGGGACAAATCTGTATGCAGCAGGAAGAGGTAATATTAATATATTATCATACGTAAGTAGTATAGGGGTCACTATGGTACACTTTCATTTTAAATGCAAAATTCCTTAAATTATTTTGCAAATCGTGAAACGCAATAATTATTAAAATATTTTTTCATAGAAATTGAAACGCAATATTTCCTAAAATATTTTTTTCATAGAAATTGAAATGCAATATTCCTTTAATTATTTTGCAAATCGTGAAACGCAATAATTATTAAAATATTTTTCAACAAATCTGAAATGCAAAAATACTAAAAATAATTTTCATAGAAATTGAAATGCAAAAAATACTAAAAATATTTTCCTATGGGGGGACTTCGGCACACGTGACATTTAAATGCAATAATTACTTAAAATATTTTTCAAAAATCTGAAATGCACCAAAACATTTTTTAATAGAATTGTTCTATCAAAAATAAAAATCGAAATAGCATATTTAATTGCAAAATGTATTAAAAAGAAATTGAAAAAATTAATTTAAAAATTAAAAATATAATAAATAATAAAAATAATGGAAACAACTATCAAAGATTTTAATAAATTACAAGAAAATGAAATGCAAAACGAAATAGAAAAATCATTATTAAATAATGAAATCTTTGTTAAGTTCTGTAAATATGAATACTATAAAACTAATAATAAAAAAAATATTAAAATCATGAAATATAATCTAAATAAAATTCCAATTAAAGGAAATATTTTAATTGTCGATCATGGACACAATATTTCTGGAAATGGAAAGCCTTATGCTTCTAAAATACTAGAATCACCAACATGGCTTGAAATTTGTAAAATAGCTAATGATTTAATAAATACAACCGGTACTTATTTTTTCAAATATCTCCATGATATTTGTGTTGTTCAAGATTTAGGAAACATTAAAATATGTTGTCTTGGTATGGGAGGTACAGATTCCGATCACAAAATGCTTAGAATATAACTATATTATTAATTTAATTTTTAATAGAATTGTTCTATTAAAAAATAAAAATAACATATTTAATTGCAAAATGTATTAAAAAGAAATTGAAAAAAATTAATTTAAAAATTAAAAATATAATAAATAATAAAATAATGGAAACAACTATAAACGGTTTTAACAAATTACAAAAAAATGAAATGAAAAAAGAAATAGAAAAATCAATATTAAATAATGAAATCTTTGTTAAATTTCAAAATATGAATACTATAAAAATAATAATATTAAAATAATGAAATATAATCTAAATAAAATTCCAATTAAAGGAAATATTTTAATTGTCGATTATTGTCGCAATATTTGTGGAGATGGAAATGGAAAGCCTTATGCTTCTAAAATACTAGAATCGCCAACATGGCTTGAAATTTGTAAAATAGCTAATGATTTAATAATTACAACAGGTAAATTTTCAGAAAAATATCTCTATGATATTATTGTTCATCAAGATTTAGGAAATATTAAAATATGTACCCTTATTATGGAGTCGACTTTATTAGACCATTTATTAATTTAATTTTTTAATAGAATTGTTCTATTAAAAAAATGTTCAATATTTAACGCGTTATTAAAATCCAAAAATCTTTAAAAACGATTTTACACTATGATACTATGAGGGGGACTTATAAAGAATTAAAATCAAAAATGTTTAATGTAAAAATGAAGATTCTAACATAAATAGCAACGGAGTTATACTTAAATGAAAAATATGAAGCGGGGGGTAAACTTTTAATATGTAGTGTAGATAAGTATATAAAACATATCTGTGTTGTTCCGACTTGATAATATCAAATATTAAATGAAATATAGGACATATACGATCGCGTTATTTTTTAATATTTTTAATAGAAATATGGAAAAAAATGCAAAAAATCTACAAAATCATTCCCAGCTTTGCAGATACCCGTTAGGAAAAGAGGAGGCCGGAACTCTTTTACAGATATCTGCAAAGCTATCGTGGGCAGTGAAGTTACCCAAGTGCTTTATTCAGCAGGTCAACGACAGTTTTTCAGTAGATTGCATAGGTGTGTGCACCCACCTATACAATCTACCGTAAACGTCTTCAAAGCCTGACGAAATTAGTAGGTGAATATGCAGCGCTACACATTCCCCCACTAGTTTCAATCCGACCAAGAACACATTTAAATCAAACGCCTTAACCACTGAGCTACAACACTTGTGCATGTATAATGATTATTTAAACACTATTTAAATAATTCGATAAAAAAACATCATAATATAAACTATACATATTCCTATATTATGATAAGGTATTCACTACCGGATGTTAAAAAATAATCAGTCCAACGTTTATATATATACAATATTATTATTATTATTATTATTATTATTATTATACCACACTGTATAGGTACTATAATATTATATAAAATACTTCGTAAATATTATATTCGATTTAAATTTTCGATGTTTAAAAAATTTTATTTTTTTATAATAAATTATAGTAATGGAAAATAAAAATCAAATTAATGAATTATCTTTGCCAAAAACTATAAAAAAAACGATAGATGCTAATAATGTAAAAAACGAATTTGGTCCATATGAAGTCAAGCATAAAATTTACAAACATGAGCAAAATAAAGTGGAATCGTTTCGCAAATCATGTGTAATATTCAATAAATTTAATAAAATATTACAAATAAAGTACAATAATCAAGAAAATACTTTTACATTGGAAGAAATGGAAGAAATAATACCGATACGAGCAATGTATTATTGCAGTCATGATTGGAATCAAGGTGCAATATCTGAATTTATTGATTTTCGAAAAAACTGGAAATTTCCTATTTTGTATTCTCAAGTTCGTGGTGATTATATTCCAACTTGGGATCAATGGGAATGTTTTGGTATGATAAAGTCTGAAATTACAATATCCCAATTTATTAAAAATTTTAATGATGATTTTAAGGACACACTTGGTTTTTTTTTCTATAATTACATAGATAATAAAGATAAATTATGGTTATCAATTGATATAATTTCGAGTTGTCATTTTATAAAATATACATATGGTCTAACTCCTCAAAACGATGATACAGATGAAGAATATGAATGTGTAAATATTAATTGTGAAATAAAAATTGCTAATAAAATAAAAATAATCGAAGATGTTAAAAAACAATGTTAACATAAAAAACAACGTCAACGTTTACCTATAGTTTGTATAGGTACTATAATATATAAATATATAATACTTCGTAAGTATTATATTCGATTTAAATTTTCAAAGTTTAAAAAATAATCATTCTAGCTGCATATTATTATTATTATTATTATTATTATTATTCGAATCATGTAATTCCTCTTGTATTAATTTACGTAGTTCGTTAATTTCATTATAATTTTTGTTTTTAATAAAACTTAAAATATTTTCGAAACAACAATTACTAATGAAACGGAAGTTAAATGATTTTAATTGATTATGTTTTTTGTAATAAACATATTTTGCAACATTTTCATAACAACAATTATCCAATATTTGATTCCATAATATATTATTAATTTCAGAATCAATATCAATATCAATATCACTATCATTAAATATAGGTCTTAGGATTTTACGTTGTTGTTCAATCATATTTAAAAGTGTTTTGATATTTTCCATTTCTATTATTTATATTAGTAAATATATTTTTTTTTAACATCGAATTATTAAAACAACGTTAACGTAAAAAAACAACGACTCGTTAACGACTCGTTTACTCGTTTAATCGTTAACGACTCGTTTACTCGTTTACTCGTTTACTCGTTGACTCGTTTACTCGTTTACTCGTTGTTAAATATATATTAAACAAGTTGTTATTTTTAATAGAAATATTTCTATTAAAAAAATAAAATATTTAAATAAATTTTTTATAATTTTCAATAAATTCTAAACATAAATGACCACATATAGGTGGATCATTATAGTATTGAAATTGGGAAACAGTACAAAAAAGATTATCTTTACCCAAATATTTTAAAAGTTCTTTTGGTGGCTCACCAACTATATGACCAAATGGGTCAAAATATATTTTAAATGTATTGTTTATTTTTTTCCATGCAACCCAATGAGAACCATTTTGAGTAGAATCATTTAAATTAAATACTCCACATTCATTTTCCCATGGTGTTGTAGGTAATTCATTTAACATAAAACACCCTCTATAATTTTTTATTTTATTTCCAAAATAATTTATATTTATATTACTCAATGGATCAATTTTTATATTATTTTTTTTAATCCAAAACCGTGTATAAATACCTTCAAATTTTTCAATATTATTTCTAAATGTTGTTATTTCAAATTTATTCATTTTTTCAATTTTTTTTTTTTTTTTTTTCAAGTCAGAACCTTGTGATCTAATTTTTTCCATCTCTTTATTATGTCGAATTGTTTCTTGTTCCATTTTTTTTTTGTGTTTAGCATCAGTTACTGCAGTATAAAGTGCACTAGCACCTGCAGCCAAAGCACTTACACCTTCAACCACAGCAATAGCTATTGGTAAAAATCCACCTTTTTTAATTTGAACATGTTTAAGTTCTAAACTTGATCCGGTATTATTTTTTTTAGCGTTTTTTAATTTTCTTATTTGTTCTGGCTCAAGAATAAATTTATGTTTTCCACTATCAATTTGATTATTTTCAATTAGAATTGATACATCTTTATTATTTTTATGAGCTTTCAATATTTTATTAAATTGTTTTTTATTTAAATTTAGATTCATTTTATAATACAAAATATTAAATTAAATTAAATTAAATGAAATGAAATTAAATTCATTCCAAATCGTCTTTTTACATTCATTACATTTGCTGTAAAAATGGCTGCAGTTTTTTCACCTATAGAACTATGAGGATCATAAAATCTTTCCATTGCTTTTTGTTCTAAAATTTTATCAGCAATATGTCTTGTTTTAGTATCTTTATTATCTTTATAAAAATAATCATGTTCTCTCGCAGCTTCATCTAATTTGTTTTTAGGTTTTTTATTTTTTTCTAACTTTGTTCCCGGTCCTAAATAATTATAGCCAGGCCAATGCATTTCAGGTAAATTTGAACAATTCAAAAGATAATTAACAATTCCTGAACCTGTAATAATTTTCTTTGGTAAACATGAAACATATGATGATAAATAATCTGCACCGTTTAATAGGTATATCAATTAATTTTTCCATATCTCTAATACAAATATTAAGAATATCAAGTTTTTCATCATGGTAAATATTATTTCCTATACTTTCTTCAATTGATATATACTGTATACGTTTAATTATTTTTTCTTTTGATATTTTCATTTCCTTTGGTAAACAAGTTACATATTTTAGTAAATATTCAATACCTTCAGGAGTATCAATAAGATTTTCCATAATTGATTTAAATAAATGAACAATACCAAGTTTTTCGTTTTTAAAATTATTATTTCCAGCTCTTTCTTCTGAAGAAATAAACTGTAAATTATCTATCACTTGGTTTACATTACTAATATAACGATATTCAATACGATTTTCTGTGTATTTCTTTAAACCCTCCCCTATTTGATTATCTTCAGCTAATATTTCATTATTTTCTTTTTTTTCAATAATTTCATTATCTTCATTATTTTCTTTCTTTTTATTATTTTTTTCTTATCAGTTGTTTCTGTCATTTCTTTCCAAATCGAACTAATCATAACCTTATATTTTTCACTACGACTTGATTTAGCTCTTTTCGTTGAAGGATCATTGTTTTGATATATAGAATTAGTTTCAAATAATATATTTTTATAAATATTAAATTCATCATCATTATAAAATTGTTTGGGTGTAGGAACTTGATGAGTTAATAATCTCCATAAACCTGGTGTTCCTATATATCTTTTTTCATTTAAAATTATATCATCATTATCAAGATCGATTATATCTTTTCCAATCATATAAATATCATCTTTCTCATTAAGATATATTCCAAAAGAATTAGTATCTTTTACAGTTTTTAAATATTTTGATGCAATAGGACCTAAGTTTATAATATTTTTAGGTAATGGAGAATTACTTGTTGAATTTTGACTAGAATATTTTGGAGTTCCAAAAGTCTCTTCTGAACTTGTTAATCGTTTTAATTCTGGATTTCTAGGTTGTATATTTAATTTTTGAATATCTCCTTCAGTTTTAATAGCAACATCTTTAACTGCATTCATTGTTGTATTAACATTTGTTAATGCGTTTATTATTGGTCCAAACTTTTTTTGTTGTTCTTCAAGTACATGTTTTTGTTTTACAATTGTATTTCTAAATCTATCCTGTAAATCTTTTTTAAGATTAATTATTTTATTTACATTTGTAGATTTGTATTGTTTTTTTTCTTTTTTAATATTATCTTCATCTTCATCATCTTTTTTATAATAACAGTCTCTTTTTCATTAGGTTTTAATAATACATCTTTAAACCTATTTTGTAATTTATTTTTAGTATTAATTATTGTCTGAATCTTTACATCTGATGTGTTTTTTAAACTATTTCCTACCTTGGAATTGTTTTGTGTTTGATCATCAAATGAAACATTTTTTTTAATTTTTTTTTTAATTCTTTTTGAATTTGTTTAATATCCATTTATTATACAAAAAATTAAATTAAAACATAATCATTCATCGATATATAAAATCTCATTACCTTTATTGTCATAGATTAAATTTTTTATCAAGTCTATTGTTATGAAACCATATGTTTTTATTTTACTTTTTTTATCATATTTTTTACAATAAGTTCTATTAATTTCTTTAAATTTTTCTAAAGCTACATCTTCACTAATCAAATCGGACCATATTTTTTCAATATAATAATTTGATTGATTAAAAACAATTAAAACGTTCAAATTATTTCTTATTGTTTTTATATCTACTGAAGTATAACTTTGTGTTAAATAAATAACACTAATATTCTTTGATCTTGATCTTATAAAATATTCAATTATCATGTCTTGTTTTTCTTTTAGAAAATCATCAAAAATCACTAAACTATTTGGTTCACAATCATCTACAGATATTATTTCATCATTAGAAAAATGTGTGGTTATAGAAGCTATATCATCAAATATTTTTTTAATTTTTTTATAGACTGGTTGATCAATATTTTTTGTAAAAATATATAGATTTAAATAAGGAATCCAATAATTTATAATCAGATTATACAACAAGGTTGTTTTACCACAACCAGATGGGCCTATAATTAAAACACGTGAAGGTAATTCAAATAAAGATTTTTTTTTATTTTCATCTTCAATAAAAAATTTTACTTTTACTTTATCCATTTATTAAAAAAAAAATATATATTTGGTAATATAAATAAGAAATGGAAAATATTTTAAATAAATATGATGATAATATAATAAATAGTCAATATGAAAGTTATATACCTCAAATTACAACAGAATTGAATAAACCAAACCGAAATACAATAGTTATAGTAGATGGTAAAGATAAATTTCTGAACATTAAAAATTCAAAACTTTATTTATCATTTGAATATGTACAAGAAGATGGTTCTAAATATCCAGCAAAATCTAATGTTATGATATCTGATAATGGTGGAGCATTTTTGTTTCAAAAAATTACAATCAAATTAAATAATAAAATTATAGATGAAAGTGATAATACTGGAAGATTAAGTACAGTAAAAGGTTATATGAGTTATGCTGTTGATGGAAATGGTCCTACACAAAATTCAGGATTTGAATCTACATCTCAAGGGGGAGGAAGTGTCGAGCTCATCATTCCTTTATCACACTTTGGTTTAGGATCAATGAAAGATATAAAAAGTCCTCTTTACAATGCTAGATTTGAAATAATTTTTACGAGAAACACTGATGATGATGCGTTGATTCTAGAAACAAACACTGAAGCTACAGCAGATACAAAAAATATTAAAGCAAAACGTGGTAAAATTAATATTTTAGAATTAAAAGTTCAAATGCAAAATATAGAATATGATGAAATAACAAAAATTCAAATAGTTGATGCATTAATTAAGAATCCATGTATTTTAGCTTTTAAAAAATGGCAAAATATTGAAGTAAGAAATCTTACTGGAAAAAAGATAAGATTTGATGTAACAAATAATTATCGAAATAATAGACATCCATTGTTTGGTGTTGTTTATTTTCAAAAAAACAGATTAGACAATCAAGAAAGTAATGCTTGTTATTTTGATCATTGTGATGTTGTAAATTATTCTTTTGAAGTAAATGGAAAAAAATATCCTAATGAATTACAAAATCAAGATTTTAATGATATAAAATGTTGTCAATCATATGAAGATCATATGAGTTATAAAAAAACCTATTATAAATCACATGAAGAAAATCCATTAATGTATTTAGATAAATTACAATTTAGACAAAAGAGACCATTTTTTGTTGTTAACATGACTAGACACCCTAATCAAATTGCAATCTCCAACTGTACAGTAATTTTAAACTTAGATTTCAGTCAAAATTTACCTGATAAAACAATTTGTTATATTTGTTTAATTTCTAGTGCAGTGTATATGTTTGATATTGAAAGAGGAATAGTTGATGAAAGCTATTAAATATATTAAAATTAATTAAAAAATCGTTCCCTACTTTAATTTTTCAAGATATTTTATCTTGAAAAAAAGTTTTTAATATTTATTTTTTTATTAGATCAAGAACACCAATAAATTCTTCATCAAAATTAACAATATTACCTTTCAAATCTAAAATATAAATTTCTATTTTTTGAAACTGATTTTTACTCACTGGTCTATATATCATTTTATGAGGTTTAATCAAAGCACTATTAGAATTATATTGAAATAAAAATAAAACTTCATCATAATGAGATACCGCATCAATATTATGTGTAATAGATTCTCCAATTATATTACAATGTACTTCTAATATTTTGTTGTTATTATTTAATAATGAATTTTCTCCATGATGTGTATGTATCCCTCCTAAAATTAAATTTAAATCTTTATCAAATGAAAAATAATCTTTTGTTGTTATTTTAATGTAATCACCATTATTTTCAAACTTCATATTCGAATTGAATAAACTATTTAAATGTTCAATTGAATAATTTCCTTTTAATTCTGTTTTACTATTTTCATTAGAAATAATACCATTTATTTCTTTTAAGAAACCTTGAGTGTAAAATATTGGAGTTTTTATTCCTATTACCGTATAAGCAATATCTGGTGTTGTATACTCAACACCTAATTCTATTTCTTTCCCTTTAGGCCATGTTTTATTAATAGGGATCAGACGATTTATAAAATTAAAACCTAAACAATTTGATAAATATTCATCAAAACACAGACCAATTGAAGCAGTTATTTTTAATAAATTTTTATTTATTTCAAGATTTATTTTAGGAAAATTTTCCACAAATTTAGTTCCGAATGAATTAAATACATTTTCAATTTCACCTATTGAATAAATACCAATAAATATTGTACCTAGTGGGATTTGACCATTTCGACCTAATCTAAATTCACATTCTTTTTCAATATTTATGTAATATTCACTATCAATAGGATAGTACATTTTTTTCTCACTTGTCGAAAAATCTATATTATCATTAAAACCTAAATATTTTTTTAATTTTTCATCTAATTTATAATAACAAGGAGATTTAATTGTAATTCTATTAGTTTCATCAGAAAATGATATAATAAGTGGTTCTATTTCTTTGTTCAATTGTTCAATACTATATCTACCTGTTTTTATATGTATTATATTCTGTTTAATTGTTATATAACAGTCTGATTCAATATTAATAAAATCGTTGCCTTTCAAAACTATTGAATAGAGAGCTAAAAAATGATCACCATCATCATTGTGAATAGGTTTGTTTAAATCAATACGACCCTTTTTAACTTTTATAAATACCATTTATAAAAGTAAATTTATTTTTTACTTAAAAAAAATTAAAATCATGTCTTGTTTTCCCATTCTTTAAAAATGTTTCACCATTATAAATAAGATTAAATTTTGTTTCCGAATTTGTATTATAACATGTTATTTCGTTTTCTGTAAATTCATTTGTATATCTATCTGGTAAATTTAACATATATTCATCGTTTAATACAACTGATAATCTTTTGCCAAACTTTGTATCAATCTTTATGAACTTATTTACTTTGTATGGTTTTCCTTGTTCCAAATAATTACATTTTATAAATATATATCCATTGTTTATTTTATTTAAAGCATCTTTAAAGTTTTCCATTTCTATTTCTTATTTATATTAGAAAATAAAAATTTTTTTATTTTCAATAATTTTTTTAAAAATTTTTTCATTATAAATATAAAAAATGAGGGAAAATATATATTGTCTTAAATGTAAAATTCAAACAAAAAATATTAATGCAACTAAAATTCAAACAGTTAATGGTAGATGGAGAATTTCATCAAAATGTTTCAAGTGTAACACAAATAAAAGTAAATTTATAAAAAATTCTACAATTGGACATAATATTTCCAATAAAAAATTAAATGATACAGATAAAATGAAATTAGCTAAAGAACTTCATAAACCAGTTAGAAAAAAATTTCCTAAACGAAGAATTTTTACTAAAGGTATTGATGATTTATGGGCTGCTGATTTAGTTATAATGAGAAATTATTCTGATGAAAATGAGGGTTATTCTTATATATTAACTGTTATAGATACATTTTCAAAATTTTCTTGGGCTTTAGAACTCAAAAAGAAAGATGGAATTAGTGTTTCAGAAGCATTTCAAAAAATAATAAAACAAGCTATATCACAAAATCATCAAGCACCAAATTTACTTCACACAGATAAAGGTTTGGAATTTGAAAATAAACATTTTAAAAAAGTTTTGCAAGAATATGAAATTAAAATGTATCACACCCAAAATGAAGAAAAATCATCAATTATTGAAAGATTTAATAAGACATTAAACATGAAAATGAGATTAAAATTTGAAGTTACAAATTCAAAAAAATGGATTAAAATTTTACAAAAATTAATATATGAATATAATTTCGAAGACATACATCGATCTATTGGTATGAGACCTTGTGAAGTAAATAAATCTAACGAAGATGTTGTTTTTCACAAATTATTTTCTACAAAAGACAAAACTAAACCAAAAATTAAATTTAGTGTAGGTGATAAAGTAAGAATAACAGCTTATAAAAAAACATTTGATAATAAATTTAATAAAAATTGGACTGATGAAATATTTATAGTTAATGAAATTTTAAACACAATTCCTATTACCTATAAAATTATAGATTTAAACAATAAAGAGATTATAGGGAGTTTTTATAACGAAGAGTTACAAAAATCAGTATTTTAATAATATGACCTAAGTTAAAGGAAGTGATATCTATAATAGAATATCTATTATAGTATATTTTATAAATATACTATAAAATATTTACGGTATCAAGCCCATGATTATGAAATTATAAAGTTGGGAGACACCGTGTCTCCCAACTCATTAGGATATCATATTCTAGTAACCGTATGGTATTGTATCATAATCTGGTAATATTATTCTTTTATCATAACCAAACGAGAATTTTTTTGTAACTTTCTTATTAACTATATTTTTAGTAAGCGTATCACGTGTTATTTGATTATATTCTAGTTCTATATTACTATCTTTATTTTTTTGTTCAATTAATTTTATCATTGATTCACCGTTAAGTTTTAACAAATTTTGATAATTCAAAGTAAATCCCTTTATAACCGTTTGATGTTTATTATCGTTTGTTTTATAATAATAACTTTTAGGACCTGTAGATGCCCAATCTGTAATATGTACATTTTCACCTAATTCATCAGTCCATTCTCCCAACATTGTTCCTGTTTTAATTTTATTACCACCATTATCTATATAGAAAATAGAATCGGTATCAAAATAAGCTACAGCTCTACCTAATTTATCTAACATTTCATATAATCTTAATCTTGCACTAGATGTTGTAAATAAAGCTATTAATATATTTGTATTATGAAAATTCTCAACGTAATAATCTTTATAATTATAACACATTTGTATCATATTGTCGTTTAATATTTTTATATTGATATTTTCTAATCTATCATCTAATAATATTTTATAGAATTGTTGTGGATCTGTAACAAACTCAGTTTTTTTCATTTTTTGTCGTTGTCCAAATTTTCCCCATAAACTATTTAAACACAGCTTTGCTACAGCTCTCCTACCTGGATTATCACCTAATTTTAATTTATCTAATAAAATACCCATTTTATCGAAAATTGTTTTTATATACTCTTCATTACAGCTATAATTATGTTTTGAACTTTCTAATTTTATTTTTATAAAATTATCTACATAATCTTTAAATAAATCTGTTGATTTCTTTTCAAAATGCCACACTTCATAAATTTTTGTTATAATATATCCTTTTTCCAAAGCTTTATTAACTTCATCTGTTGTCCATGTTCCTATAAGTTGTCTTTCATTTTTAGAATGATCACATCTTTGATTTTGGTCTACAGCACATTTATAACACAAAGGAAATAATAACTTTTCACTTTTTTCCATTTTTATTTTAACTGGAAGTACAGGATGATAAAGATTTCTTGGAGGTAAAATTTTACATTTAATTAAACCAAACCATTTTTTATCATATTTTTTTGGATTAAATATTTTTACGGGATGTCCTTCAGGATAATAATCATAATAATTCACAGTTGGATATAAACTACATACATCAATATAACGCATTTTTGTGTTTTTTACCCTTAATTTTGTCGCATTTGTTCTGCCTCCAAAGAAAGGAGTAATTTATATTAATCTCTAGGATTAATAGGGTCAGCTATATCAGCTTTTTTCATTTTTTTTGTATGTAGTGCTATTTATCCAATCACATTCCCATTGCTCAACAAGATTATAACCAGCTTTTTTATTGCTGTACTTCTTTCAATTGTTTTTTGATACAAATCATCCATTGTTTCATGATTTATATTATTTATAGTTTCTCGATCTTTATAACATTTAGTACAACCGTGCCAAAAACATCCATGATATTGATAAACCGTTTTTGATTTATTGTCAAATCCATCTACTTTAGCTCCTGCTATTATTATTTCGTTCCCATTTAATGCATGTGAGATATTTTTATTATTAAAATTTTGTAACCACGTTATCGATTGTTTTGAATAATTTTCATTTTTTTCTTTATCTAAAACAGCTATAGTATCTTCTAACAAATATTTTGATCTGTAAATACTCATACAAACACCTGCTATAGTTGTATAGCAAAAAGGATCAATGCTAGCTATATCCAAAAATTGCTTTCTTAATTCTAAACAACCTCTTCGGTCGATATCCACATCTGAAGTACAGTATGCCTCTAATTCTTCTTTTAAATTAAATATATAATTTTCATTAATTTTTTCATTATACCATTTTTCAAATTCTAGTTTATTCTCTGGTTTCATTGTTTCGAATCCATAATATTTTTTATCAGGTAATTTACCAATATAATTTTGATTTTCTACTGTATTAAAGAAATGCGGAAAGTAACCTTTTTTCAGTTCTTTGAGACCAAACGTTTTGGGAAA